TTAAGTAATTAAGTTTTACGCGAACTAAATTACAATCATCTAGTGATTAGCACCACCAAGACCTAACGAACAAGACCAAGACTAAAACCAAGACCGAATATGCAAAAACAAAATCAAATACGCAAGACTAAACGAAAAATTGTTACTTCCGATGGATTTATGGGTTAAACTATTTAAAAAAGCAACTGTATCCGAGATAAAAATATTCAGTCTCTCAGAGTCTCTGAAAGCGAGACTCGAGTCCCCATCTCTCATTGAGTCTCTCAGGTGTCGCTGAGAGAGACTGTGGAGAAACTGTCAAAAAACTGTTTAGCGTCTCTAAACGAGAGACTCGAATCTCTGAATTAACAATTTTATCGTTCGAGTCTCATATACAGAGACTGTGAGAAATCCATAAAAACATCTAGGCAATAACTGAGCGACTGTGAGAGACGCTCTCAGAGACGCTGAAAGACTCTGAGAGACTGGAGAAAGACTGAAAATTTTTGTCTAGGGAATATATTCTTTTCGTGGAACAAAATATTTAACTTGGAAAAAGCATTAAGTAGTTAAGTTTTAAGCGAATTAAATTACAATCACTAGTGATGAACAAACTTGGTTTGGATCTTGCAGTTTTGGTCTTGTTGGCCTTGCGAAAATGCATTACCAAAACCAACAGCAAGACTTTATATTAGTAAGACCAAGTCCGAAAGAACAAGACCAAGGCTAAAATCAAGACCTAATGTGCAAGACCAAAACCAAATACGTAAGACTAAACGAAAAATTACTACTTCCTGTGGATTTATGGGTTAAACTATTTGAAGTAACTTTAATAGATATAATCTTTTATTGGAACAAAACATTTTTAGCATTTGAAATTTTCCGTTTGCTTTACTAGATTATAACANTTAGATGGTAGGGAGCACCATGGTCCAATTGGATCCAATAGCTTGACTCATATCATAGAAAATCTTTTTACTTACACTGTGTCAGTGTATAGAATTTATCGTTTTCTTATCGCCCGTTTCATCTATTTGCCCCTAGCCACTATTACAAAAGGAGACTGAGGATGGTCATTCTCCTCACCCACCATCTTGCACTAGAGTGTAGACCGGTGCGACACAATCTGTGCATCAGAATAAGTTGGTAGGAATGAAGCTATCATAAGAAGTATTCCAACTTATTCTGTATCTATAGACACACGATTTTTATTGCCTTTTCATTGTCTGTGTCACCTATTTCTTCCTAACAACTGCTCTTAAAGAAAGCCGAAAAGGGCCTCCCTCGTTTCGTACCTCCTTTAACCAAAATACCACAGTTTTCACACGAGGTGGGAAGTATGAAACACAATGAACTTTTTTATCGCCCAGTATATTTTTGGTAGACGTCGTTATCGAAATAAGCCCATTCGGCACAAGAGGGAAAAAAACCAACTTACCGCCATTGTCACATGAAGCGAAATAAATTCTTTGTGTAAATCCTTCCAGGATTTGTTCACGAAAAGAAATCTAATATAAATTCAAATTCGTTATGTCAAGTCTTGTGCTGAATTTACTTCTTCTAGCGTTCTGAATAAGGACGTGTGCATATACACAACACATACGTATGTAGTAGACGCATACACGTATGCACACACGCCAAAGTACAGTTACGTCCCAGCCACCAACTTTGCAAACGCCAGGAATACATCAAAAATTTTCTTTCAGTTCGAGAACTGTTGCAGATTTATTCATTTCGTCAAGATTGCGTTCTATGATAGAATTTGTTAACTTCAGATTTACATAAAATTGTCATTTCTTCACCTGCTTACCTACTATTACACCGAATAAAATATTCTTTTGTTATTACAGTCGACAAAAACTGGTAGAGCTTTTGTTAGAAATTTAATTTTGTCTGGTTGAAATTCAGTTTATTGTTACATTTTTTTCGTCAGATTTAGTCATCTTCAGGATATCTGAAACTTGCTGAAAAAATTTAACGCTAACTGCTAAAAATTTGACTATGTGAATTATATTATGTACTAGTGCCTTTAATAAAATGTAAATGTTTTTAATTTCTGTTTTATATCCAAATATAATATATTTTAAGCAAATTTTAGATAACCTGAAGATCACCAAATTTTAAGGACGAAATAAAGTAATTGATTTTTGGCAAAACAAAATTTTAACTGTCAAAAAAGTGAATTTTACCCCGACAAGTTCTATAAGCTTTGTACCACAAATATTGTACAATTTGCTGTTAAGCTTCTGAAGCATTTTAAATCATTTTCTTTATTTAGATACGTCTATTTAAAAAAAAATAAAATTTGTTAAATTTTTGAACTGATGCTATTCTGGTTCGGATTTAAAACCATGGTGTGTTGGTGTTGCTTCCTAACGTTTCGCTAGCAATAGTGGCAACATCTGCCGACATCTGCAGGCTCTTTATGGTTTGCCTCGTGTGGAGGGGGACTTCCACGATCAGGTAGATGAGGTAGCAATGGGAAGCCCTCTAAGTCCAGCCGTAGCCAATCTCTTCATGGAATACATTGAGAAGAGACCGTGGAGTACAAACCAACAACTTGTTACAATACGTAGATGACGCCGTAACTTTCAGACACGGAATGGAAAAGCTGAACAACTTCTCCAACACATGAACAGACAACAGCTCAGCATCCAGTTCACCATGGAGTCTGACAACGACCAACAGTTAACATTTTTGCACGTACTAGTGAGCAAACGAGGCAATAAATTGGATCACACAGTAGGTATACAGGAAACCTACACACACGGACAGGTATTTGCAGGCCTTATTCAACCACCACCCCAATCAGAAGTATGACATCATCAAGGCCCTGACTGAACGAACCGGAAAACCTTCAGGAGGAACTTGAAAACTTAAAGACCGCCTTCGAGGCGAATGGTTGTAAAAAGATGGAAATTGAGAGATCAATGAATGGATTGAAGACAACATAGATCAACGAACGACGCACAATCTCTCGAGCATATTCAATGTTCTATGTTCCAAAGGTCACGGACAGAATTGACAGAGTCCTCAAGAGACACGACATTGGAACCACCTCCAAACCGACGAAGAAGATTCAGCAGACTATCAGATCAGCTAAGGACAAAAGAGAGCTTCAGGAGTCTACTGCATACCCTGCTCCTACGAAGAGGCCTACATACGAATCATTAAAAGATCGATGGGAACGAGACTCAAGGAACACAAAGCGAGCTGCTAACTAGAACACACTTAACAACGGCGACCACAAAATGGCTATCATAGCAGGATGGTCAGGAAGGCCATCCAATCCAAGGACATCCGGAGGGCTTCAACAAGAAGGAAGACACCCTCAGACTCAACTAGATCTGCAATCCAATTCTCAGGAACACTCGAACGATATCGACCCGTCATGCCACGATTGACTCATCCGGAGCAACCCCGTCTCCTACCCACCACCATAAAAATACAACTTGCACAGGAGAAATTGCCAGTCTGCGTCCTGCATCAGAGATGGAAGGACTTTTGAAGAAGCCCGCCACTCGTGCTAGCGAAACTTTAGGAAGCAACTCCAACACATTACGGTCTTTAGACCCAATTGCATCAGTTCGCAGTGAAAGCCTTTACCAGTTTTTTAACTTTTACTTTTTCGGATTACACAAATTAATTGAAAAGATATAATTTTAATGGGAAGACTGTTGCTTTTTCACAGATTATTTAAGATAATGAGAAAATTTAACAATTACTTCAACAGCATTGTAAGCCCTGTTTATGAAGAATTTTCTTTTTTATTTTAATAAAACATATTCATCGATCATCGATATTGTGATTACCTATTCATAACCAGTTGCTTCCACGTTTCTGCATAATTGTTCTTTTTACAATTAGTTGATGTACGTAAATGCTCTTTAAAGCGATTTTTTTTATAAGCTTCTATAGAGCGTATTTCTTATTAATCCATTATTAATTAAAGCATGTTTCAATGTTAGTTTCGGTTGATCCAGTGGTTTTGATCCCTTACCTCCAGTTAGTAAACCCTGGACAGCTTTTAAACGTGTCTGGAATATATAGTGTTAAATCGTTGTCAGAATGACACTATTATACTAAATAAAGAAGTTAAAATTGAATAAACCAATTCGAAACTGCCAATGGGCTATGTCGTCATACGTTTACTGCTAATTATGGAGCCACCATAACTAGCAGCAGATTCCCACGTATGACGACATATTAAAATAAAGGGCGCCCTTTAGAATTAAATACCTAAGGTAACATTAGAAATATGGTTTGATGACTAGGTATAAAAAATATTTAAAATTATCATCATCATCATAAGGTCGTCAGTCCTAAGACTGGTTAGACACGTACCTCCACTAGAACTAGAACATCCCACATCCTTAACTATCTGCGAACAGTAATCTAATCTAGATGTACCTCTACCCCTCCTAACTCCTGTTTCTGCCTCTAATAAGTCTTTGACTAGACCTTCATGCCTGAAAAGGTGTCCTACCATCCTATCTCGCCTATTTCTTATTGACTTCCATAGAGTCCTCTGTTCTCCTATTCCTTCTAATACCTCTTCATTTCTAACCTTTTCTACCCACGTTATCCTCATCATTCGCCTATAACACCACATTTCGAATGCTTCTAACCTTTTCCTTTCGCCGCTTCCACTGTTCATGTTTCGCACCCGTACAACGCCGCGCTCCAAATATACACCTTTAACAATCTTTTTCGAATTTCTAAATTAACCGTTCGCGAGCACAGAAGTGACTTCTTTTTATTGAAGGCTACTCAACCCCGCGCTATCCTCTGCTTTATATACCTACTACTTCTTCCGTCCTGACTTATCTGACTTCCTAGATATCTAAAATCGGCCACTTCTTCTACTTTTTCGTCTCCTATCTTTATATTCGCTCTTTCCCTACTTTTTCTTCCCTTGCATACTAGTTTATAATTATAAGAAACAAAAACTAAATTCTTAACCTCTCAATATTTTTTGGTTTAGTAAGATGTTTTAATATGTCTTTCATGTATTGTTTCAGATTATAGACTTTGGTCAAGAACATCGCTCGCCCAACCGGAATTTGTAGGATCAATAAAGAACATTACAGTTCACATGGGAAAAGAGGCGGTATTGTCCTGTTCGGTCAGCAACATAGGAAATTACAAGGTAATTGGCTTTTATTACTGTTTTTTAATTCAAGGTAAATTACTGTATAGAAAAGTTGTGACTTGCTTTTTATCGACAAAATAATTGTCTTAAATGCTGAATATTTCTGTCATACAAGCGGGCTTGTAGAAATGAAGAGGTATTAGAAAGAATAGGAGAACAGAGGACTCTATGGAAGTCAATAAAAAATAGTCGAAGTAGGTTGGTAGGACACCTTCTCAGGCATGAAGGTCTAGTCAGAGACATGTTAGAGGCAGCAACATTAGTCAAAAGGAGTAGAAGTAGATCTAGATTAGATTACTGTTCGCAAATAGTTAAAGGTGTGGGATGTTCTAGTTTTAGGGAAACGCGAAGATTAGCTCAGGATAGGAAAGAGTGGAGGTGCGTGTTCAACTAGTCTTTGGACTGACGACCATATGATGATGATGCGAGCTTGTGATGACTTCTAAAGAAAATAGTGTTGATTGTTGTGAGAGTTATGAAAACTCAAGAACTTCCCTTCCTCCAATCCGTAAATTGATCTTTTATTTAACAAATTAATGTAAGGTACTTGAAAGGAGTAAAAACTATAAAAAAAATAGTTTGTCTATATATTTTTTCAAATAGTTCTTTTAGTTATAAATGGCAAAAAATTGTCTTAAATAATGAAATTATCTGTCATTGATGCGAACTTTTGAAGAAAATATTGTACATAGTCGAGAAGTTACTCTTCCACTAATGACCCTTCCTCCAATGCATAAATAGACATTGTTTTTTGTTTTCGTGGAAGAGGGGAAATCATCAAAAGACACCCAGTCTTTAAAAAAAAAAACTTTTGGGTGTTTCATTCCCACCAGCCAGTAATGCTGGTGGGCGGGCAGTCCCTCCGGACTATGCCGGAAGGTAGGGCGGAAGGCCCTCTTCAGCCTGCTTTCAGGAATCGTGGGAATGGGTGGGTGGTGGTTCGGGTGAGAAAGATGAGACGGACGAAATGAAGACAGAAGAGAATGAAAGATTATCTGTGGAATATTACTGCCTCAGCATTTGCCTAAGTGATCCAAGGAAACCACAGAAAAACTTAGACCAAGGCAGACGGACCCGAAATCGAACCGGCGTCCTCCCGAATGCTAAGCAATGCTCTAGACCTCTAGGCCATGCCGCTCGGTACCCAGTCTTGGATACGTTGGGTATTCATAACAATTTACAACTGTTGGGCTGGTGAGACGAGGGTATAAGGGAAAGCATCGTCTTGGGGTGAACAAACGGTCATGTGCCGCGTTACCTGCTCTGGTCGGCACAAACATTTAGGGTAATAACCATAATACTTACTGTTGTAAAATTCCAAGAAAAGTAAATTTGACGTGCAAGAATTGACATCTGCTAACAATACATTGAAAATAACAAATTAAAAACTACCCTAACTAAATTGGATACAAACATGCCGCTCGCCTTGAACTGCTTAAATTCAAAACAAGAAAAAAAGAATGTGATACGTACGTAAAGTTAATGATACATATAATGTTCGATTAGAACACTTCACTCGCGAATAACATCTTCATAAATTCGAAGCGGACACAGATTTTTTATAGTTCTTTTATACACTCCACTCTGGGTTTTTATTGTCGCGACGCGTACTACACCGTCATCTCCTGGATTTGTAGAAATAACCCTACATATCAGCCACCTTGCTGGAGGAAGATTGTCATCCTTCAAAATAACGAGAACTCCCGGTTTTATGGATGTCGCCTTGGAGGTACGCCATTTGCTACGCACCTTTAATTGATTAACGTACTCCTTGTACCATCGTGCCCAAAAGTGCTGCTTCATTTTCCTTTGTCTTATATATTCGGTCTTGGTTTTAGTCTTGATCTTATTCGTTCGGTCTTGGTTTTAGTCTTGGTAGTATATTGACAGTCTTCATTTTGCATTTTCACAAGACCAATACCTAGGCTGCAAGACCCAAGACCAATTTTGCTCATCACCATGTCTGCTAATGAGATCAAATAGTAAGGAAGGGCTTAATACAATAAATAATACAACGAACACAATATCTTTTTTATTACCCTCCCTTGGCATTTATAATAATAATTGTCGTAAACAATAATCTAACAAGTATTTATTTGGCCAGAGGCTGTACCGCATAATTCGGACCGTACAGAAGTTTATCATAGTCGATAACTTTTGCAAAGAGATTGGGTAAACAGTTCGACGATAACGTACCTACATAAATTTGAGGTATCAACGTTTTCGTGATAACGAAGAAAAGAGGGCTATAACTTCCTTTAAATCTCTAATATATAATAATGCATGCGGATAACGCTAAAAAATATTCCAATTTAACCTAATATGCTACAAGTATTCAAATTATGAATTTAATCACCAAATAGGTCAACCAAATATAATTCATGTTGCAATAAATCGTGCAGAAAAGAGATATTTAAATGTAAAAAGAAACTTTGAAAATGTAAAAAGCATTAAGTAATTAAGTTTTACGCGAACTAAATTACAATCATCTAGTGATTAGCACCACCAAGACCTAACGAACAAGACCAAGACTAAAACCAAGACCGAATATGCAAAAACAAAATCAAATACGCAAGACTAAACGAAAAATTGTTACTTCCGATGGATTTATGGGTTAAACTATTTAAAAAAGCAACTGTATCCGAGATAAAAATATTCAGTCTCTCAGAGTCTCTGAAAGCGAGACTCGAGTCCCCATCTCTCATTGAGTCTCTCAGGTGTCGCTGAGAGAGACTGTGGAGAAACTGTCAAAAAACTGTTTAGCGTCTCTAAACGAGAGACTCGAATCTCTGAATTAACAATTTTATCGTTCGAGTCTCATATACAGAGACTGTGAGAAATCCATAAAAACATCTAGGCAATAACTGAGCGACTGTGAGAGACGCTCTCAGAGACGCTGAAAGACTCTGAGAGACTGGAGAAAGACTGAAAATTTTTGTCTAGGGAATATATTCTTTTCGTGGAACAAAATATTTAACTTGGAAAAAGCATTAAGTAGTTAAGTTTTAAGCGAATTAAATTACAATCACTAGTGATGAACAAACTTGGTTTGGATCTTGCAGTTTTGGTCTTGTTGGCCTTGCGAAAATGCATTACCAAAACCAACAGCAAGACTTTATATTAGTAAGACCAAGTCCGAAAGAACAAGACCAAGGCTAAAATCAAGACCTAATGTGCAAGACCAAAACCAAATACGTAAGACTAAACGAAAAATTACTACTTCCTGTGGATTTATGGGTTAAACTATTTGAAGTAACTTTAATAGATATAATCTTTTATTGGAACAAAACATTTTTAGCATTTGAAATTTTCCGTTTGCTTTACTAGATTATAACATTAAATATAAAAAAAAGAAACTTTACCATTGTTCGAAAAAAAAACTGTTCTTTGTTCCTACGTCTGGATAACACACAGTTGAAGTTTAGAGACAAAGTAATCTTTTTTTGATATTTTTTACTACTTTCAAGTAACTTATTCTATTTGGTTCACTAAAAGGTCAATTTATAGGTTGAAGGAAGGGAAGTTCTCGAGTTTTTATAAGTCTCACAACAATCGACGCTATTTTCTGTAAAAGACATGACAAGCTCGCATGTATGACAGACAATGTCAGTATTTAAGACAATTATTTTGTCGATAAATAGAAAAAACTGTGCTAACGAAAATCATTAAAGATTAAATGAGTAAAAGCAAGACTTCAGACAAAAGATCAAGACCAAGACTGAGACTACAACAGAAAGGCGAAAACTAAGACCGGAACTATATCAGAAAAAAAAACAAAACCAAGACTAGAGGTGTTTCAGCAAAATCAAAACCAAGACCGTATAAACAAGATCAAGATCAAAAGACTGCGACAGTCTTGCTGTTACTTTGCTCATAACTACAATCACCGCATAATCAGGAGATGAAATAACCATTGTATTTTAGTATCTGATAAAGCTAACCTTGAGTATCAAAAATTGCGTTATTAAAATAAAAATGTTAAAATTGATGCAATTAAATACCTACATATATATACAGCACAAACGCTGTAATATCAGCTATTCCGAGGAAATTATAAAAATTGGACGGCTTTATATTATTATAATCGGCTAACGAACCGGATCGGCTCTTTTTATTTTGCATTTGGAGTTAGAAAATCGAACCTTTAGCCGTCCTGAATAAGGAATACCTACGCAATTTTAAAAAGAATATATCAGCATTGTTACCTCTATTTTAGTTTCGTGTTTTGTATGTTACGGATTTACTTATTTATTATTTAGTTAATTTCTTATTAATAACTAATAAAACTATGGTATTTAGTTAGTAGTAACATCGAAAACATTAACAGTTAGCTCATCTTGTACCTGATATCTATTTCACATATCCGCTGTATTTACTCAAATTCTACCCAATTAGGAACAGAGAGTGTCGCCTAACAATGGAGCAGGGGGGTGTAAGGTGGTAATAGAGAATATGAATTCTAGTTGTAATTGTTCACTGCAAGAAAAAATTTATAAACTGAAACATTAGCTTTTCCGCTAGAGCAGTAGCGTATATCGATCCTTACGAGGCGACTCCGAACTGCAATGGATTCATCTTACCGAAAACAAAAATTTTGGGGGTACATGAAATGTAAATTGAACCCCATCGAATGGATTCCATTTAAACAGATTCACACCGACATTTTCACTTCCCATTAACGAAATAATTCACATAACAAATAGAGCGTGTATATACGAGGTCCGTTCGAAGAGCATCGCGGATTTTATGTTTTTTTCAAAACTTATTTATTTATTCATGAATCTCTATTTGGTTCCCTTCAAAGCAATCCCTCACTGAATATTATACACTTGTGCCAACGTTTTTGCAATGCTTCAAGCACTTCAAAAAATAATTTTTTGTGATCTCGTTCAGCTCCTCCTTCCATGCCTTCTTTATCTTCTTAATCGTAGCCTAACGTCGTCCTTTCATGGGACTCTTCAGTTTCGGGAACAACAAAAAGTCACAAGGGTCAGATCTGGGAAAACGGTAGCTGCGACATCATTAGTGTATTCTTTCTGGTCACATATTTGCGCACAAGCAACGATGTATATCATGGTGTAAAAGCCAATGTTTGTTCTTTCACAAATTCGGGCGTTTCTGGCGGATTGTTTCGCGCAAATTGCGCATAACTTGCAGGTAACATTCCTTATTGACCATTCTACCTTTGGAAAAAACTCATGATGCACAACGCCTCTGCAATCGAAGAAAACTGTAAGAAAAACCTTCACATTCGACCTAACTTGGCGCGCTTTTTTCAGTCTTGACTCGTGCAGCAGCTTCCATTGGGATGATTGAGCTTTGCTTTCCACGTCATAACCATAAACCCATGATTATTCACCAGTTATAACCCTCTGGAACAATTTGGGTCGTCATGGGCAGAGCCCAACAGCTCCTTAGCGATGTTAATGCGACACTGTTTTTAGTCGAAATTGAGCAATTTTCATACGAATTTTGCGACGACACGTCTCATGTCCAAATCATTGGTAAAAATCGAATGGCAGGAGCTCATCGATTTGTTTAGGTCTTCAGCAACTTCTCTAACGGTAATTCATCAATGTTTTAGTCTGTTGTTGAAGTGCTCGGGCGTCCGGCACGCTTTTCATCATAAAAATCTTCTCGGCCCTCTGAAAACATTTTGTACCACCGATAAACGTTACTACGGTCCAAGGTAGCTTCACCATATGTCGGAATCATCATTTGGAGTGAGTCCGCACACTTAATTTTGTTTTTCGTACAAAATTTAATACAGACTGTTTGATCCATTGTTAACAATAGGCAAAAATCGAAGACGAACCAAAACACGTGCAAGCAAAGCAGCTGAAAAAAATTAACTGAACATTCAATATGGCCGAACTTGTCGGTATAAGTGAGAGACATGAATACCAACATAGCGACACAAAAATATCCAAAATCCAATTTATGTAATCCGCAAAAATTCAAAATTCGCGATACTTTTTGAACAAACCTCGTATTGTGTGTCAAAAGCATAAATGTTTAAAACGTAATCGTTCATAAGAAGCTGATGAATATTTGGAACCACAAATTTGGGGACTTTATGCTTTACTCAAAGAAAAACACATTTAGAGTTATAATAATTTAATATTAAAAAAAAACAGGGAAGTTTATCCTAAACACAAAAAAGTATCACGTGGTCTACGAGGGTCATCGTGCTACAGGCTAAAGTGATCGACTCACCAACACACTACCTTAACAGCGCAAATTACATAAAATTATGTTTGTATTCGTCATAGGTACACAGAATGCATATTGCACACGCATAGTTGTGAGTTTCAGATCATATCGCTCTGGAATAGTAAATATTTTCCCTATAAGAGGGAAACAGTTGCCCTCCCTTGACGCCGCCCTTGTTGATAACTAAAAATGATAATACAGTGACTACTTAATCTATACAATCATTAAAATATCCTTAATCTATTCGTTTGAGCTTGTAACACAATTTCTGAATAATTAGTTTACTCATTATAATGCACCGAAACATTTAGCTATCCCCTTTACAAATTAGCGCTGTTTTATAAATCGCCTAGCCATAAAGCGTACTACTTTCGTGGGAAAACTAAAGAGAACACAAGTCAAACAATTTGAATTAAAGTTTTCTTTTCGTACTTATTTCATGCGGATTTTCCAAGAACAGTTTGTAACAAGTAACTGAAAAGTATTCTTTGAAGTTATGCTCTTTTGGGACGTTGACAGCTTGTGTTTCTAACCTCAATGTTTATCGACTATGTCTAGTATTATTTTTAGGAAATAATATACAAAGACAAATATACCGTCTCCCCTCTCTCCCGGCATTCCTGAAACTACAAATTATGAAAACAACCAGAGAAAGGCAACATTAATTCATGATCACAGAGATCCTGTAATCATTGCCCTACATAAATACAGATTTTGAATTTGTTATATTTACGTTAGTAGACGTGTGTTCACATATATTGATTAAATTTTATCTATTGCATTGTGTGAGTTACGCAGAAAAACTATCAAACCTAGAATTAATTATCGCTAGTCACTTTTAGGTGACATATTTTTAAAATTCATTTTCATGTCTTTGGAAATGTCGACATTATTACTGAAAATTAGAAATAATATATGGCTGTTTAAAACTTTACCGTAAATATTTTTTCGAACTGCATCCACGTAAATAGGTAAAGGTCATGGTGGGGGGGGTCGAAAGAGAAAGTTTCCTCCACCACTGTACCATAAAAAATTCGTGGCGGTCTCACCCCCATAAAAAGTTATGGGGGTTCAAAGTTAATAAATATGCCAATTTTTATACATTTCTAGGCATGTAAATATTTATATAGTCATTCTTAAACAATATTCAAAGGTAAAACTAATGNATATGACCCCTGCGGGATTCGAACTCGCACACTTCGGCGGGGCAGTTCTACGCTCTAACCAATGAGCTATTTACAAGTTGAAATAAACTATTAATCCTATTGTGCAGCCAAGTCATTTGCAATAATTTGTTTGTAATTTTGTAAAAACAACCAATTTTAAATTGTTTTTCTTTTGTTTCAGGCTAACTCCTTGGTTTGGTTTCGATTCCAACCGGCTAATTTTTAACACAGTGTTTATATATATTTGTTTTAACAAGGACATGCAAATTCGCGTTTTCCAATCTAGTTCTCGTAGTCTGTAGTGAGAATAAAGAGTGCAACCATTATTTTTTCGTGTGATTACATTCAGTTATGCGTAAAACCGTCGATGTACAGTGGTGGGGGAGACCTCCTCTTTCGATCCCACCCACCCCACCCCCCTCGGAGGCCATCATCTAGACATTTACCCGTAAATATTATAAATAAAAGAAACGTCCGCCTATTCGTAGATTCTTTTTGATTCGTTTGTTCTGAACTTTGGCACAGTATAATAGCTCAATAAAAAGGGTGATTTATTTAACAAGACATATATGTTCACAGGTAGCGTGGGTTCGAGAAAAGGATCACACAATTCTTAGCCTCCAAACGAGGACAGTAACTCACAGTTCTCGTATTAGTGTCATTTACGATGGTCTGAAAACATGGGAACTCCGAATTCGACACGTTAAAGAAGACGATAGGGGCTGTTACATGTGTGAAATAAATACAAATGTCCTCAAAGTTCAAAAAGGATGCATTGATGTATATGGTACGTAAAACCTATTTATTCGTCATTTTATCTTTTCATATATCATCATCATCAAAAAATCATCAGGCCGAAGACTGGTTGAATACTTTCATTAAATGATATATATCGATGGATCTACATGCATGGGCGTACTCAGCTTCTTCCCTAGGGGGGGGGGTCAAGTCAGATTTTTTGACGTGACAACGTCTTATAATTCGATGGAGCCGGCTGCACGCACGAAAAAACATGACTCATGCGGCGTTACCTCGCTCTGAGGCGTTCCATTTAAGGCTTGAAGTGCAAGCGAGAGCGCGGAACGAGCGACAAAGAGGCACA